TTAAAAAACACACAGACCACAAATAAGGTTAATCTATTACGACGCAGGTTGGATTTCTCATGTGTCCTTAATAAATATTAAAGAGGAGGAGCCCTTTCAGGACTGAAGCAAGCACCTAGCCTTTATGGGTGCTAGCACCCCTTAAAGATGATTCAACAAGGCCTCTAAAATGCCCTTATAAGTGCTTGATTTGGTGATGGCACATGGAGGTTAATGGAGGTTAATTTAAACAAGATCAATTGGCAGCTTATCTGTCCTGGAATCCCCTGGCACCAAACTCACATTACAGAAAGAATGAAAGGCACTCTGCAGGTGCTCAGAGGCACACCAATTACCGTACTTCCCTCGTTTCAGACTGGAGCTATGGCGCTGACAAAGATTTAAGAGGCAAAAGGATGATCTCCTTTGAATCTGATTCCCCTGAAAGGGAAGGCTCCAATACACTTGTCACCCATAAAGGTTAGGCACTGTTTCTTCCCAGCCTAGGGTTAACCATCTCTAACAGCAACAGGGCAGACAGAAATTCTGCAGGTGAAACTTTCCCCTAGTGTAGTGTGAGGGAGAAGGAAGAAAAGTCTCACTGGCTGAATTTCAACTCTTCGGAAAGGGCATGAACTGCTTTTAAGAGAAGCTTTTAAGAAAAGCAAGCTGGCCCTCTCAGGCCTAGCTTGGGTCTGCTCCATCTGGGCTTCAGCTGCCAAGCACCACTCCTTTCACAAGGCCCAAGGAGGGAGAGCACTGGCCTGCCTCACCCCGAGGCTGCTCCTGACTCTTGGGGAGCCCACGCAGCCTTGCCAAGAGCCTGGCTGGCAGCAGCAGCAGCAAGAATCTGGCCCGGGCCTGGCCGCGCTCCTGCCATTGTCAACAAGGCCTTTGTGCCTCGCCGGCTTTGAGCTGCTCTCCAGTTAATCATCTCAAGCTGCAATGGACCGCGGGCAGCAGGAGCAGCAGCCTCAGCCAGCCCGCCTCGGCCTTTCTTCTCCCAGCCAGCCAGGCAAGCAGGCATTTAAGCGGACATACATTTCCTCCTGGTACTTCGCAGAGGCGCGGGGAATGTCAACAGCTTGGTAACCAGGAGGGAGGGATGGGGGACGGGGGTCCCTCTCTCCTCTCTCCATAGCGACTCTCCGCAGTGACCCCCGTTAGCATGAAAATAGCCTCCTCCAAGCGACGCGGGGAGTCTCTAGGCTGGGGGAGGGCAGGCGACGACGCGCTCGGAGACAAGCGCCCTCCAGCTTCTGCACCCAAGGAGGGCGCTTTGCGCAGGACGCGCGGAGGTGGCTCCACAAGCCAGGAAGGTTTGCGGGGGGGGAGCTTACATCCCAATCGCCCATCAGGGCAGGAAAAGGAAGATCAGTCCGTGGTGCCATGGGGGAAGGGGTCTAGGGAGGATGCCCAGGCGCTACTCAGCGGAACCTAGCAGGGCTGTCTTATTTGGGGCAAAAGGGAAGTAATGCACTCGAGCATCCATCCCCAAAGTGCACGCGGGGAGGGACTATGGAGTCTAGAGCCTAGATCGCCTCACTGCATCACTGCTCAGCATGGAGGAGGGAGATTACCATTAAACAGACACGTGTACACGACCCAAGGTGCCACTGAAGAGTTACTCTTTTAAAAAAAAAAGATAATATGTCATCGGTGGATGTTTGTGCCCTGACACCGGAGTCCCAAACGTGTGTGTATGCCGTACAGTATATATTAATTCTGAATTAAGTCCGACTGCATTTTATGCATGTTTATACAAAAGTCAGTTCTAGTGTTTGATGCATTTTTCAGAGAAGTAACTGGGATCGCATAGGATTGGATGTGGGCTTTGCGACCATGCCTGTCGAAGTAAATTTCACTAAATTCAGTGGAAAGGACTCCCAGGTAAGTATATGCACAGCGCTTCAGCCTTCAGTTAAGAAAACACACCCAGAATACCGGAGTTAACTTTCCACCAAGCGAGAACCTAGCATTGGGAGAATTTACTCTGAATCCACACAAACTGCGCTCCATGAATTCTTCCCCAGGTTTCTCATAGCCTAAGCGAATGGTTTATAGATTGCAACTGACTAGGATCCTAAAGTAGGATCCTCTTGAACACATGTTTTCCACATAACTCACTTCTAATAAATAACTTTAGGACAACACCCTATTACTCTCCCTCTAAACAGGAAAAGTAAGGCAGCAGTAGAGAGACAGTGTGGTGTAGTGGTTAAGACCTGGGCGACAGGGTTCAAATCTCCACTCAGCCATGAAGCTCACTGAGTAACGTTGGGACAGCCGCAGTCTCTCAGTCTGACCTACCCCGCAGGGTTGTTGTGAGGTTAAAATGGGGAGCTCCTTGGAGGAAAAGGTGGGACATAAAGAATATAAATAGATGCAATATATTCCCACTTCATTAGGAGTAAGCCTGACTGAATTCATCAGGACCTACTTCTGAGTAAACATGCAGAAGCTAGGGCTGCACATCAATAGAATTCATTTGCAAGGAGGTTTTATCCCCAGGATTCGGGGGTGTGTCTAAGACATCTTTACACTTGGAACATTTACTTCTCAGCCCCCCCCCCACTGAAGTCAAGGGAGGCACTCTAAAGTCAGTGATCTGGAGATTTCATCTCTGCCTTGGCTTTAGCACGAGGTTATTTGATAAGGAGGCATTCTTGACCAGCATGATCCAGGACCTCAGGGAAGCTGAAGCTCAAAAAAGTATTCGTATTGCTTTCAATAGACTGGTCGATACTAACACATTGTTGGGAAGGAGCGTTCCACTGAAATCGGAAACATTTATTTTCATCTAAAGACTGTGGCCTGGAGTGGCCTGTCGGCTTAATTGATTCGCGACGGGAGCCTTCCCCAGTAAACCAGGAATCCTGTTTTAAGAGTTGTACTGTACAACAGCTAGCACATGCAGCTGCGTGTTCATCATTAGACCACCGTGGTCAAGTGCGCCTGAAAGACCGACCACCGACCGAACCACCCATTGAAAGGTTTTCATTATTACCGCAAATTCCACGCCTTTCAGTGAAGGCAGTTCACCCCAGCATACACATTACTTGATTAGCTTTGGTAGATTCAGACGTGCCTGGCAGCTGAATGTGTGAAAAGTTTGAAGTGATGCAGTACTATTTCCAGGCGTGTTAGGTTTCTGGCCACCCATTCACACGTGCACTTCGCCATTTCGGGAAACTGTCTCTAAAGATGAGCTGGGGTGTGCGAGACAGCCCTTAGCTGCTGGTTACCAAACGCTGAGAAATCGGATGGTGAGGAAACCGACTGGCGCACAAAGTACGTGTGAAGGTGTGCTAAGAAGTCTCAATGGTGCTCGATTAGTGGTGGCGCGCATCTGAGAGTAATTCTAACCCCCCTTAGCCCGAATCAGTGTCCCCTCCCCCCCCCAAAAAAACCCTGGAGTTTTGTATTAATGCGGGACATATGTCATCCCCAGGACCAGGGCTTTGCCCCGCTGGTCGAACTTGTTGCGCCAGGGACGAGGTGGTTCTCATCTCCGCATCAAAAGCGGCCGTCTTTCTTTGCCGGACGGGCAAAAAAGTGAAATAAAATGCCAGAAGCGCAATCCTCGGCCCCCTTCACTTCAAAAGCCGCTATCAGGGAGGCTCCCCGGCGAATTTGCCTGCCTGCCTTTCATTCCCCGCTGGAAGAAGTGGGGGGTGGGGGGCGTGCGGGTGGAAAAGCCCCTCCAACAAGGCCAGGGCGCTGCTAATGCGCTTTGATGGGGATTGAATTCATTATCTCCAATAACACAATTGTGCTCGGCCAACGAAAAGAGCAAAGTAATACTCATCTAGAATTAGAGCGAGGGGCTCAGAAGAAAAGGGACGGAGGGGCCGTTTCAAAGGGAGCAGGGGCGAAAAATGAGAAAACACCTAGATGGACAATCGGCTCGGCGAAGGGGGTCCCCCGGTCTAAAGCGCAGAAGTGTATTAAGTGGGCCATTGCGAGGATCAAGGCGCGTTGGTGGTCCCTGACTGCGCATTCTTGCCTTGGCCGGCCAAGTCGAGGCGAACAAGGCCGGGGTCTTGACATTTCCTTTCCTCCAGAGAGTGTGTGTGGGGGGGGACTTAGACCTCGCCCCTCCCCGTCCCACCCGTCTAATCACATTTACTTGGGAAGCAGGAGAGCCGGACAGAAAGGAGGAGGAGGAGAGGCGGGGGTCCTGTCTCTGGAGCGCAGCCGCTATGGGCAAAAGAGCGAAGTTGGGAGCGCGCCTCTTCTCCTGCAGCAGCGAGAAAAGCTACACCTGCGGCAAATATGAAGAGTCCAGTTCTTTTAAGCATCTGGCTTAAGCCTTTGATCCGAAAGTGAAAATCTTTAGCTACATTCAATGGTCCATCCAAATAAAGTGCCACAGTCAATAGGATGAATTGGGCACGGGAAGGAAAGTATCCAGGACTGCTCCCTAAAGCAGGAATGGGCAACTCCAGATGTTGTGGGACTACTACTCTTAGCATCCCTGGCCGTGCTGGCTGGGGCCGAATCCAACAACATCTGGAGGACCTGAGATCTCTCCTTGGAGGATGGGATTAAAACAGGGCTAGTCATCTTGGTGCCCTCCAGGTGTTGTTAGAGACCAATTCCCGTCAGCATTGCCTATTATTGCCAGGAATAATGGGGGTTGTATTCCAGTAAGATCTGGAGGGCTCCACGCTGGGTATCCCTGGATATTTTGGAACTAACTAAACAAACAGTTTCATATGCGCTTTGGAGTGGCTTTGGGGCAACCCCTGGAGGGCTGGAATGAGCCCCTGACATACATTTAATTCATAACCGAATATCCCGAGCGTCGCCTGGAATCATGGTTAAGCTGGAGGAACTCTATCCTTTGCCCCAAACAGCTGGTGTGGATCAGGGGCAGGAAGGGGAACTTGTGAGCTGGGGACAGACGGACACAAAGGGCAGGAAAGGCGAGCGCAGATGAAGCTGCAAGAGTCTTTGAGTCCTGAGCAAGAGCTCCACTAACTCCCCCAAAGTGTTAAACCTGATGCCTCTAGAAAATAACAAGTTTATTTTTTATTTTTTTAAAAATGAAAAATAACAAGATGATGATGATGAAGAAGAAAAGGACTCTGTCGGTCAACATAAGCGCAAGTCTTTTCATTTTAATTACTTTCCATTCCAGTCATAGGAGCCCATTCCCAGGGGCCAGGGTCCCTTCGCCCTCCCCCATAAAATAGTTGAGGGAGCCCCACCCCCACAGTATCATTGCCATTCAAATGGTGTGTGTCTTGTGATCGATTATGCAGGGCGGGGCTCCCCCCAATATTTTATTCAAGTTGGCACCTTTGATTCCAGTGAATGTCTTTCATTGGAGGCAAGCAGTTTTCCAGTACATAACTTTGAATGCGTGGATAGCGCTCAGCTCAGCTTTGTTCATAGCGCTCAGCTTTGTTCATAAACGGTGCTGGTGAGGAGCTCGATGGCAGGGATGCTGCGCGCAGGGGTCTTTTTGCAGGCGCTTCAAACCAGAGCGCAACGCCGAGAGAGTAGAAGGGGAGTCTTCTTTCAGGAGCTGGACGGCGAAAAGCAGCTCAGAATGAACCTGCTCGGTTCCTTCCACGTTTCCGCCGAGCAGGGCAGGGGCGCGCCTGAAACTGGCCGGGCCTCTGCTCGGACAGGGGGGTGGGCCACACGCCCCGCGTCTCTTCGGGTCGGCGCCTCGCCGCCAGAAGCCCCCACAGAGCGGCCTCCGTCCAAAGCAGCCGCCGCCGCGGCTCTAGGCAGCGAAGGGCGGTTTGCCGGCGGTGCCCCGAGGGACAGCGTATGCCCTGACAGCCAAGTCTCACCGACCGCTTGAAAGGCGCTCAGCCAGCGAAGATGGTGGTAGGCAGGTATAGAGGAGCTCCCCTTTCTCGCAAGGCCTCGAGTGTGCCGAAGTGACTGAGCCCTCAGAGACAAGGCCCTGCTGGTCGCAGCAGAGAGCCAGACCCGCGAAAGCGCGCGCTTGGGGCCTAGCAAACGCCTCCGAGCCTCATCGTGGCAGTTGCTTCTGCGCGCTGCTGAGGACCTGAGCGCAACTCAGGGTGGCTTTGCCCTCCGCTTCTTCCCGTCTTCGATTTCCTCTCCCTAGGGCCCAGTCAGTGCTGGATTTACCTATAAGCTAAACAAGCTATAACATAGGGCCCCACTCTCTTGGGAACCCCAAAAAGATTTAAAGAAAAAACAACACTGGATGTACAGTTCCAAAATAGCAGATAAAACCTACACAGTGGCCAATGGCTTTAGATACCTTTAGATACCTATTAGGTCCATAAATTACCACATAGCATATATTCAACACAAAAACAGTGACAATTTGTTGTTGACAAAGGATAGCTGGACATATAAAGGGCCCCATTACCTTCAGTAGCTCAGGGCCTCACCAAACCTAAATCCGGCCCTGGGTCCAGTCCATGGGAGTAGCCAGGGGGTAGGGAGAGGCAGCTAAAAAAATCAATAAAAATACATGACAAACTGAGGTTCTCCCTCCCCAACAAAAGGCCTGCCCCTGCAATCCTGGCTATGGCCATGGGCCAGTCGCTTAAAATAAGAGCATCCTTGCCACTGACTTTCATTGGGTGGTAACATGGGAATTTTGTTAGGAGGGAGCAGGACTTTTGTGGGGGGGGGGCAGAACTGAAGTGATTGGTCATTTAGTTATGTATTTCTATTGTTTTACTTCATCTTGGGGGGAGCAGCTGCCCCCTGCACCCCCGTTGGCTATGCCCATGGGTGGGAATGACATCCTTACACTCACACACACCCCATCTAAAATAAGTTAAGGGAGGCAAACTTCACTGAGCCTAACAGGCAACCAAGGCTCATGCATTTAAGACAAATTCTCAACTCAGTTGCCAAAAGAGGGTTAGCGAATTAAGCAAAACCATGTCCACAAACATACCAGGAGAGTAGCAAACAGTTAAAGTGTCTTGGTAGTATCATTTCGTAAATTTCCAAGCCCTCCTTACATGCAAAAAGGTCTATTAGAGCAAATTGTTAGAGAATAATGAAGTTTTGGAGTACACAGGAAATAAAAAATGCAGGCACATTTCTCTGGTTTATGTAAAATACATCACAATTGGAAAGGTGGGGGATGCACTGTCTGAGCAGCTTCAAGATAAGGAAATTGAACACCGGTACCCACATCTATTAACAGCTTATGATTGTAATCAAGGAAATACCCGGGTTCTGCTGTTTCTAAATACAATAAACACTACAGTATTTGTTCCAGTGTAGAGTATATGACTGAGATGAGCTTCCACCTGCTTCTAGGTGCCACTACTGGAGGTCTCAGGAACACTAAAGGAAAGCGAGAAGCAGGAAAGTCTTGACAGTCTTGACAGCACAATTAGGAATGAAAGGGGGAAATATAGAGGTTGGAGTCAGAAGTTGGACAGGGACCAAGGCCTAGTGGAACTTATTTAAGCATGTATAGGATTGCCTGGTTGCAGAACTCCAAAATGGAAGTCAAGAGTAGAGTGCCGCCTGTGCTTGTCTCACCAGCTAACTTGTAGCTTCTGAAATGTGAGCGGGGATGAATATGGATTCAGTTGTGAGCTGAATGGTGCCCTATTTGATCCATCCGCCATCTGAAATCATCACCCAAGGCCTTTCGGTGACCCCATGGTCTGAAGTGCTGCTGGTGGCAACTGAAGAGAGCCTTTGCTATTGCGAATCCTTTATCTTTCAATAAATAATAATAATTATATTGGGGTCAGCCTGGAAATGTCCATTAGGTGCCAGGCAAAAAACACTTCTGTTTTCTTAAACTTTTAAGAACTAAGAATGTATGCAGTTAACTTGGAACAGCTGATTTTGGTGTCTGTTTGAATAAGCTGGTGCTGTTTGAGTTTGTTATTTTAATTTAATTGTTGGATAGTAGTTAGAGTGTTGGACTAGGAAACTGGGAGACCCGGGTTCAAATCCCCCACTCAGCCATGAAGCTTACTGGGTGATCTTGGGCCCATCATTGTTTCTTAGCCTAATGTACTTCACAGGGTAGTTGTGAGAATAAAAAGGAGAGAAATATGTATGCCACCTTGAGCTCCTTGAAGGAAAGGTGGGATATAAATATGACAGCTAGAGAGATAGATACAGCAGGGTTATGGAGCAGGATTTCTAAGTCAAAGTGTGTGATCTGAGACCAAATCCCTTTCATTTGAGAAATTGTGCAAAGTCTTGGTCTGTTTCAGCCTTTGCAACAACAATCAGCTATCCTGCACATGTGATGAACACATCACAAGACCCGGCTTTATCTGAATTCCCCACCACAATCCACTCTCGGGGTCTGACACCGTAAAATATTCTTTTGTTCTGGAATCCAGGTGACTGAAGGCCCAGCCAAGGTGCTAAAGTGTCTCATCCAAGTTGCTGAATTTCTTTGCTCCCCATGGGACTTTATCTCGCTTAAGTGCATGAATGCAAAGGGAATTAAGGTCCTCAGCAAGTTGCAAGATTTGAAGCTAACTAGAAGGGAACCCGAGAAAAGGATATCAGGATCCTTCATGGATTATGTTTTGGGTGTGGAGAAGAGGCTTAGAGTGGCTCCATGCTAGTCCCCAGTATCTTGAATGTTAATACTTTTGCCTAATGTTACCTGCATAGGTGCCTCCTGAGAGTTAAGATTAGAAGAAAGAACATTTGGGAAGGGAATTGAGAGAAGAAAAACCTAACAAATACTTTCAGAAGGTCAAATGATAAGGACTACCTTGTTAAGCTCATTGGAGCTTTGGTTACGTGTCAGATATGGCTGCAAATATGTTCATTCCCTTGTGCAGAGGAGAAAGGAGCTTATTACATTTCAGCTCTTTCACCAGAGTTTATAGAACTTTTAAGTGAGGACTAACCCATTGCCACAATAGTGCATTGCCACTTTTAAGTGAGGACTAACCCATTGCCACAATAGTGCTATACCTTTATGAGGGCAACTAAAAACCCCAAATGATAAACAGTCTTTTGAGTTCTCCAGAATAACAGGCTGGATGCTAAGCAAAAAAAGAAAAGAAAAATGTGTGTGTATGTGAGTTGGGGGAGATGAGAATGGAAACTGGGAGTGGTGAAGTTGCTCTCCAGCTTTGCAGTTTACACCAGTCTTGAGCTGCAATGCAGGGGGCATTTTGCAGACAACACTGCATTAGCCTCGCAAAGTGCAAGACAGCTTGTAAAATACATCCAGGGTTATTGGGACAAGCAAGCAAAAATGGATGTTCCCTCATTTTTATGCATTTATATCCCATCTGTTCCTCCTTTCCCCCTTTTTATCCTCATAGCAACCTGGTGCAGTATATTAGGCTGAGAGGCAGTGACTGGCCCAAGGACAGCCAGTGAGCTTCATGGCTGAGTGGGGATTTGAATCCAAGTCCTAGTCCAAGATTTCAACCACTACACCACACTGGAACTCTTGTCTTTTTAAAAAATACAAAATCCAATAATTACTCAGTTTGGTCTCAAGCTTTAACTGGAACACACAGGTCCCATAGAGGTGGAAAACAAAAAGCAATGTGGGTATCTTTATATTAGCAAAGTTGGAGATTACTTTCTAGGTGGTGCCAATTGAGGTATCGGATTGGAAAGCATGCGACTCTCGGAAGGAAAGTGTCATCTTCAGGTAGTAGCAACCATCTCACTTCAGCTTCAGGATCCCTGTTCTTGATGGTTGTATCCAGCAGTCTCTGAGACAAAAAACAAAGGCAGCAGTTTGGGTCCATTAGAGGAAAGAAAGGCACCAAAACACAGAGCAGGGTGATTCTTTTATGTTACAAAGGAGTGAGCAAGTTTTCAATTTTTTTATAACTCTTCAGGCAGGATGTCAAACAAAATGGGTGTGTATGGGGGAGATGCAAGGGCTGCATCTCTCCAGACTAACGTGTCCTTCAGATAAAACCTAAAGCCAAGGTCCAAAGCTTTTTGTCATTTGAAATACCCGGCAATGTTTCACAAGATACCTTTTGGGCAAACTCCATGTTGGGCAACTGGGATCCTAGTCTTTTCTTCCAGTATTGCTTTGAATGACACCTGAATTCTCTGCTGCTTATTTTGCTATGCTGCATATCCAATATGTATATACTCAGAAATGAGTCCTGTGGAGATCATTTAGGCTTGCTGCCAGGTTTGTGTATATATACACTTAGGAAAGAGCAAGCCCAAATGATCTAAATGAAACTCACTTTGTAGCAGACACACATAGGGGTTACGTGGTTAAAAAGTGGGAAATTTATTTGAGTTAGTAATTATTTGTGATATATGACTCAAAAAAGATGTACATAGTTATAGATTACTGTATAAAAGCCTGAGATAATGGTATTTTCACTTTACTGTTTCCTTTCAGGGAAAGTACAGTATTAGGTTCTGTCAAAACTGCCCTCTCCCTTTTACAGCACAATTCTAAAGCTAATTTACTACAATTTCTGATATAGAAGGTTAGCAATCAATTTGTCAATGGATTTGTTGATAGCATCATCAACAAACATTATACCATCGGGTTTCTTTTAGGGGGGGGGACTAATGTGATAAGGAGAAATAGAAATCCTGGGGTGTAACACTTAGCAGTAACCAAGTGGTAAAGCTGTTGAAATGGCCTTATTCATGGCAGGAAATTATTGTGGATTCAGGTGAATCCAATCAGCAGTGACTAATTCCAAGTGTGACATCCAGGGTGTGCAATCACCAATGGATATTCTCTGATCAGGTTGCTGTTAATGTGGCAGACTCCCACTTCCTGCAAGACAATGGTCTTTCACTTTATAGATTACACTTGTGAATGCATCTGCTGGCTAGGACACTGTAACCATCAGAAGTTTGTTCCTAAAGGTTAGTCGGAATCTCTTCTATTGTAATTTGAACCCTAAAAGCTTCATAGCTATTTACAAAAAAGAACATGAGAATAAAACTATTTGTGAAAAACAGTTAAAAACAACTTAAAATAAATAAAATCAATTATAATCTGAAAACCAGATTAAAACACATGGTAGTATTCTACATGTCTGGATATACTTGCCTAAACAAAAATGTTTTTAGCAGGTGCCAAAAAGAGTGCAGTAAAGGTGTCTGTTTGGTGTCAAAAGGCAGGAAGTTCCGATGTGAGGGTGCAGCTGCACCAAAAGATTGATTTCTTACAAACACAGAATGAGTTTCATGTGGTACCTGTAGCAGTGCCAGGTCTACAGATCAGAGCAGCCCAGTGGACATATATATGATGTAAGGCGATTTAGCTGGGGTGTAGGACAAAAGGACAGTTCTGGATTTTAGGCTAAGGCTGCTGCCATTGATCTCTTTGGAGGCACCTAGCCATTCGCAGCAGAGGCAGATTTAAGGCAGCATGACTGGTTCTCCTGCACTGGACATAGAGCTGAGGGAGGTGGCGCATGGCATCTCAATTATTATGTCATGCACACTTGGAACAGAAGGTGAGAAGCTGGGGTATGGACCACATTTTGGCCTTGCACAGGGCACTGCTGAAATTTGAAAGACTAAAGTCTGCCCCTTTTCTCAGTATGAGCTGGTTATAGAAAATATCTTGACAGGGTAGTCTAAACAGTAGAAAAACTTGATTCATAGTATCATAGAATCTTAGAGTTGGAAGGGAGCCAAGGGTCATCTAGTCCAACCCCCTGCAATGCAGGAATCTCAGCTAAAGCATCCATGGCAGCATCCACCCAACCGCCATTTTAAAAACCTCTAAGGAAAAAGAGGTTATGGGACACGGGTGGCGCTGTGGGTAAAAGCCTCAGCGCCTAGGGCTTGCCGATCGAAAGGTCGGCGGTTCGAATCCCCGCGGTGGGGTGCGCTCCCGCTGCTTGGTCCCGGCGCCTGCCAACCTAGCAGTTCGAAAGCACCCCCGGGTGCAAGTAGATAAATAGGGACCGCTTACTAGCGGGAAGGTAAACGGCGTTTCCGTGTGCGGCTCTGGCTCGCCAGATGCAGCTTGTCACGCTGGCCACGTGACCCGGAAGTGTCTCCGGACAGCGCTGGCCCCCGGCCTCTTAAGTGAGATGGGCGCACAACCCTAGAGTCTGTCAAGACTGGCCCGTACGGGCAGGGGTACCTTTACCTTTACCTTAAGGAAAAAGAGTCCACAACCTCCCAAGGGAGTCTGTTCCACTGTCAAAACAGCTCTTACAGTCAGAATTTTTTGTCTAGTCAAAATCTCCTTTCCTGCAACTTGATGCCATTGGTTCGCGTCCTACCTTCCAGAGCAGGAGAAAACAAGCTTGCAGCGTCCTCCATGTGACAGCCCTTCATCAAAATGTGAACGTTTGGATGGGAAGACTGACATTTGACTGGTGGATATACTTGTGAATTCATGGCAGGGGTGGCTTGGCTGCGGTGTGCTGAGTGAAAGCAAGGCCTGAAAAGATTTGGGGGTAGTTATAGCAACCAGATCAGTCCCTGTCTCCTCTCTGCCCTCTGAAGCCCTTTCAGCTCTGGCTGCCAGAACACGTTTTTAATTAAAGCGTATAAAAAGTTGTTTTGTCAGGCCTCTCACCATCCCATCAGTTTCAAAATGGTTAATGAGGCATCATCTCTTTTTGATGTTCAGGGAAGCATGGGGGGACTACCTAAAATGGCCACCAAGAGAGTTATCTCTCAATCAGGATCCCCACAACAGGGAAAGAGCGACTAGCTTCATGCCGCTGACAAGGGGAACGCTTCAGATATGTGTTGCAAGCCGACATATCTGCAAGCCCAAAGTTGCAGTGAGCGTCTGTGGATCTGAAAGGGCACCAGGCAGCCTGTGACTCCTTCCCTCCCTCTTCCCATCTCTCCCCAAAACCCCTCTCCTCTCCTGATTTTCTGTGCCGCAGCAGGTAGCCTTTCAAATGGCCACCACAGGAGGCAGCAACTTCAACCAGGCAGAAGAGACAGCTACTCCCTCAGGGGTGTTCGTATAAATATATAAAAGAGAGGCGGAATTTTGAGAAAGCCTGGCTTGACCTATCTGGTTATTTTAAAGGATAGGCCCAGTCTACCTAGGTATCATTATTTCAGTCTTCAGCCTTTTGTTTATGTTGAGCTAACCAAAAAACAACAGAAATATTTAGAAAATCAGGTTTCAGATTATTTTTTAACCTTTAAAGCCTTTTTAAAGCATTTCTAAAACACTTGATAGTTTTAAAACTATCTAAGCAGCGTACATCATAAGAACAGTCGACAATATCCTTTACACCATAATACCTCATAAGAAAACCCAGTAAAATGGTAGTATAAAAGCTTATCCGTCAGGGAAAGCCTGGACAGAAAGATACTGTACTTTTCCATGTATAAGACCAGGTGTTTTCTTTAAAAATTATGCTAAAAAGGGGGGGTTGTCTTATACATGGATAGTGCATAGGGTGGACGTTTGATTGGTGGCTGCCGTGGCTGTACCAATGGCTATTGGGCATGTTATTGGTTGCTGCGTCAATAGCTGTTGTTGATTGGCTGACGCTGTGACAATTGGGCGGGCGATTGGCAGCTTCTGCCAGCGAGGGGACGTGACAGGAGGTGGATTTTTGGACACATGCGGGTGAGCGATTTTTGGCAATCCCCCTCAACAACTCTGTGCCATCTGCCCCCATTTTCTTAAATTTGAGTCCCCCCAAATAGGGGTGTCTTACACATGGGGGAGTCTTATAGATGGAAAAGTACGGTATGTATTTAAAAGAGGTCTGGAGCAGCTCCAGGAGCAAATAATTTTTCTTGAGGGACTTTGAAGTGGCCCATCAACCTTTCTCTCTTGGTGGCCAACTGAGCAGGCACCCTGACCACTTGGCCGCAGTCTTCTCTGCTGTGGTGAGGTGTATTATACTTCTATTCAGGTTAAGGTAATTATGTATAGCCTTGCATCTATACATATAAAAGAGCATACACAAAGTTCACACACATCTAAACCCTCTTTTATCCCCCTATTTTTGCTTCTTTTTTCATGACGTGTTTGTGACCACCCTACTAAGGGCCCCTTAGGAATGAATTGGGAATGCTACACAAGTCCTCTTAAAAGCAAGAAGAGCTGTGCATAGAGCATATAAACCGATATAGACTATGCTTTCATCATCTGAGACCCTTCTTCATGTGCCTCCTCCATGGGAGGTCCAGAGGGTGGCAACAGGAAAATGGGCCTTTTCTGCAGTGGCCCCCTTTTTGTGGAATGCTCTCCCCAGGGAGGTTCAGCTTATACCCCCAGGGAGGTTCATTATATATTTTTAGGCGCCAGGTGAAAAACTCTTCAACTAGGCCTTTGGCTGATTACACAGCCTTCTAAATATTTTGTTGTTTTTGTCTGAACTATTTATTCGTGCTTTTACCTTGTATTTTTATATTGTGAACTGCCCTGAGACCTTTTGATGAAGGGTGGTATAGAAATCTAATAAACAGCAATAATAATATTTGTGCTCTTGTTCAGGTGCTGTTCATTTCAGAACCCCCTGTCAGATCGTGTCCCTTAGATTCTGTTCGAAATGAGCGCCTGCCTCTGGCACTCATAGGTGGCTCCAAAACAGCGATCCAGTTTTTGCCTGACTGCCAGCCACAGCCCTAACCCTTTCTTGGCCAGGTGGCTTCTGACTCTGTGTGGAATAGGCACAGACTCCAAAGACATTATCAGGTACGGTAAAAAGGTAAAGGATCCCTGGACGGTTACATCCAGTCAAAGGTGACTATGGGGTTGCGGCGCTCATCTCGTTTTTAGGCCACAGACAGCTTTCCGGGTCATGTGACCCTCATGACTAAACTGCTTCTGGCACAATGCGACACCGTGACAGAAACCAGAGCGCACGGAAACACCGTTTACCTTCCCACCACAGCGGTACCTATTTATCTACTTGCACTGGTATGCTTTCAAACTGCTAGGTTGGCAGGAGCTGGGACAAAGCAACGGGAGCTCACCCCGTTGCAGGGATTCGAACCACCAACTAAGAGGCTCAGTGGTTTAGACCACAGCGCCACCTGCGTCAGGTAGCCAGCTTAGGGAAGGCTGATCTAAATTATTACAACTAGAATGCACAGCATGTTTAAACATTCAAAAGAAGTGTTCCAAAGGGTGTATCAGTTGCAGGTCAATCTAATGATGCTTATCAGCTTGACAAGCTAGGCAAGTGTTGCTAAAGACTGGAAAAGACCTGACCCCTTGCTTCTAAAACTAAGGGGGTAGGTCTATAACCCATAGAGGGTGGGTCGCACACATAAGGCTTTTAATGCAGAGGTTTACTGCTGCCAGAGTTAAAAAGCTACAGGCAGTAATGACTCAGGTTAGATAAGGGATTGGATGGGTGGAGCGAGTGAACAATACACCCAAGTGCTTTTCTTTCAGCAACCATGGTTCAAATGAAGGTTACATTCCAAGGGGAGTGAACATTTTTTCCCCCAAGGAAAGGATTGAAAAGCCCTTATTTTTAGTTTCGAAATGGCTAAGAGGGCATATGTAACTCTGAATATTGCCATAGTTTTCTGAAACGCATTGAGTCTTCTGGGATTAACACTTTGCTACCATATGGGTGTACTCTGCACCTTACCCAAATGGCTCATACCTATGACAAAGAAGTCCCATTAAAGTCCATGGATAGGATCCAGCAATTTGAAATGGGAGATTCGCTTGGAATCTCAAGCCGAGAATCTTCAGCATCCTCAAGCAAACTACAATTTGCAGAATTCTCCAACTAGTATAATACAGCCAGCGACTCATGCTGCTTTATATAACTTTTGAATGGTATAACCAAAGCTCCAAGGGCAACGGTTCCAACAACTTGGAAGACCAAACACTGATATGCCTTTAGTTGGAATGTGGGTGGCGCTGTGGTCTAAACCACTGAGACTTGGGCTTGCCGATCAGAAGGTCTGTAGTTTGAATCCCTGCGACGGGGTGAGCTCCCATTGTTTGGTCCCAGCTCCTGCCAACCTAGCAGTTCGAAAGCATGTCAAAGTGCAAATAGATAAATAGGTACCGCTGCAGCAGGCAGGCAAATGGCGTTTCCGTGTGCTGCTCTGGTTTGGCCAGAAGCGACTTAGTTATGCTGGCCACATGACCCGGAAAAACTATCGGCGGACAAATGTCGGCTCCCTCGGCCAGTAAAGCGAGATGAGCACGCAACCCCAGAGATGTTTGTGTTATGCCTTTAGTCATGGGCTTAGCCGGGGGGTGGGGGGGAGGAAGGGCAGCTGCCCCCCTAAATAAATAAATAAATAGAAATAAAAATACATAGCAAACTGAGGTTCTGCTCCCCTAACAAAAGGTCTGCTCCCCTCAGCAAAAATCGTGGCTATGCCCATGCCTTTAGTAGAAGAGATCAGAGAGAAATGTCCTAAAGTTCCTATGCTGTTTTACTGGGTGACTAGCGCTGATCTAAGGAGTGGAATAAAACCCACCATTATGGAGATGTCGGACCTGAGTCCGTAGACACCTTATATATAGCACAGAGAGGCAAAATAGTTTTAATTAAGAGGGTCAGCAACAACAAACAAACAGAAACACAACCACCGGATCACATTAACAATACAGCATCTATCAATACATCTGTCTTGGTTTACACATGTAGCTCAATATACTCAATCCAAATACGTAGGTATCCAAGCCACTTTAGCATTTATTATTGGTGTCCTTTGCTTGATTTTCTGTTTTGATAGTATTTTTCTCCTCTTCCATCCCTTCTTTTCTTATGCATTATTTTCTTTAATAAATTGCAATAACACAAATAAATGAAGGGCGGGGGGGGGAAGGCTCAAGAACACTGTTTTGGTCTTGTCACTTACATTAATGGCTTATGGTGGTACTGCAGGAGTGGCTAGGAAAAAGTATATGCCTTTTCTCAAGACACTTCCTGACCTCCCAATTTCTGCTTATATTGACACTAGTGCCCCACTTTTTCTGCTGCATGGTCCTCCAAGTGACTGTACACTATGGAAGGGGAACCTCAGGCCCAGGGGACAAAGGCGCTCACCACCATAGCTCCTTATCTGGTCCTCCCTCGGCATCACTCCAGTGTGCCAGAGAGCCAGTGTGGTGTAGTGGTTAAGAGCCGTAGATTCGTAATCTGGTGAACCGGGTTCGCATCCCCACTTCCTCCACATGCAGCTGCTGGGTGACCTTGGGCTAGTCACACTTCTCTGAAGTCTCTCAGCCCCACTCACCTCACAGAGTGTTTGTTGTGGGGGAGGAAGGGAAAGGAGAATGTTAGCTGCTTTGAGACTCCTTTGGGTAGTGATAAAGCGGGATATCAAATCCAAACTCCTCCTCCTCTTCTTCTGACACCCATTACTGGCCCCTATTTGCACCCCTCCTTGAGTCTTTTTGCCTGGTTGCAATGTGTCCTTGCATTTTGTCATGTTGCCCCCAGAAGGATACCTTCACACATCACACACTGGGCCCAGCCACATTTCCCCTTAAGTCCGTTTTTCCTCTTTACCCCGTTCCTGGGTGTCAAATCTCCTTCGCTTTCATTACGCAACTTTTGACCCCTTTTCTCTGCTTCCCTCTCAGTCCTTCCACAGACTCAGGCTACGTCGCTTCCCCTTTTGGATTTTTCTAAAACTCTGCTTGCAGCTAGCATTCCACCACGAACCACCCACCTATTGCTCTTATAGTACTTGATAATCCTTTTATTTAGCTCATGTTACAGTATAATTAAAAGCATCAGAATACAAAGCTAAGCTAACAAGATTAACTACTTTGCTTTTATGTGGCAGCCTTTCAGCCTCACTGCTAGATGTTGTCTGCCGGGGCTGTGAGCGGTTTGGAACAGGGGGTTAGGTAGTTATTTCCTTTACTTGTCTTCCGAGGCCCCATGGCATAACTATATCACCAGGAAACCCTTGATCCCTCGCCACTTCTTACTGTATGCTGAAAAGGGCTGTAGAACAGTATTTCGCCATTCGTTTTATCCTCACAACAGTCCTGCGAGGTAGGATGTTGACTTCCCCAAGGCCAGCCACAGATTCCATTGCATCACACCATGGCTGAGAGCCTCCAAGGAAATTCCAGTGTGCCCTGTATATTATAACAGATATGGCGTGAACACGATGGTACAGCTGAAACACTGGGCAGTCAGAAGCATTTATAACACGAGAGGCCCAGATTTCCAGTGCCCACAAATTTCACTAGCTGGCATTATAGTTGATCCACCCATACCAAGTGGTGAGGCTATCCTGGGTCTGAACCACTTCAAGAAGAAGGATACAGCAAAGGCAGGCTTGCACTGTGTGATTTCCCTGATGCTAACCACTGTTCTTTTGCTTTTTCACGTCTGTCCAAAAGACGTACACATAATCTGTTGGACAACTGCAATGCACTCTATGTGGGGCTACCTTTGAAGGTGACCTGGAAACTACAATTA